CACAAATTTGTGTCGACTTCTTGCTATTTGAAGCTACATGTGTTCTGGCTAACCTGGCTTTTGAGTATTGGTGTAAAGCTGAGCATCTTCTTGAATATCAATGGAGAAAAAAATTGTAATGTCTCAGAGGAAAATAAGTAATGGCCATGGATTTAATCACGGGCTTGTTGAATGTTACACTCGGGAGAGATTTACGTGGACAAAACTTCCAATAAGGCAGAAATAATCCACTGACCACTCCTGGCAGAAGTAAACTAGTGTGCAAGCCAGGGGTCCCTAGTAGTAATGGCACTGGCCCTGGGGGACATTCTGGAGGAATGTGGGAAGCTTTTGGCTTGGCATAATAATTTGTAGGGTTTACTGCCATTAGGGAGGGCATGCTGGGCATGCTTAGTGTGTGAGAGTCCCGCACAATAAATACTTATCCTTCATTCTGCGAGATTTGGGAATGTCCAACAGGATATTCCTGTAGGTTAAAAAGCCTGTTTCTCTGAACCCACAACCTAACTCCATTTTTCATGTTAAACACAAAATGTTTTTGCAAGCTTTCAACATGGAATGCATTTTCCAAGTACACAGCTACATGTAAATCAAGGGAAAACTGTACTTTTATTCAGAATTTCATCAAGTTAGTTTACATGTTGGAAAATTTGCATCACTCACACTAAGAGCACTAGGGGTATTGGATTCCCTGGTTCAACACAACTGCATCCATATACATGGGCACTGTTGCATCCTGATGATGTGCCAGGCTCTGTCTTCTATAGTCATGCTCTAGCACTTCCATACTGAGATATGATGCAGAACCAAGACTTCAGCCACCTCACTCATCAAGTAAGCTTTTCATCCCAACACTGACTCATTTGTTCCTTTGCTGAGAGAGGCACAGCTTGCCTGCTCATGCCCCTTCTGAGAACATCTGCTTCCCAAATCCTCAAAGATCTTACATTCGATTGGGGAATACTGGCTGAGGCCAAGTGGGCAGGATCACACCACCCCAGCCTCCTTGCCGCAGTTGACTAGGCCAGGGGCGGGCACCTGAATCAACAGGGCCAATTACATTCTCTCCCAATGATTTGGATTATAAACTTACTGCAAGAATAGGTAAGGTCATTTTCTGCTGTGTGCAGAGAGAAAGCAAGACAGTCTGGTGTGCAGAGAGGAAAGGATGGAACGAGCATGGCTAAAAGCCAGGTGAGTGGCCGTGTGGCCCAGAAGAGAAAAAGACACTAGTGAGCAGCTGTTTTGGTTCCCAGTGGGTTTCCTAATTCAATTTCCAGACGTCAGGAAGCCTCGCTGAGTTCTCTGCTGCTTGTACTGTGATGGAATTACCTCTGGCACAGAAGATTGCCTTTGGCCTGGCCACATCAGTGCACCAACTCCTTAAGAAATGACAGTAGAGGGAGCCGTGTTACCCTGAGGTTTACATTTCTCCTCTGACACTCTGTTAATTCATGTGTCTCATGTGAACCTATGTAATTGATTGTTATAAAGCTTTTATTTGAAATAATTTAAAACTTTCTGAAAGGCTAGACAAATAGTACATCCTTCACGCAGATTCTCAAATTGTTAAAATTGACCACATTTGTTTAATCTCTTTACCCATTCTCTCTCTAATTTTCTAAATCGTTGGGAGAGTAAGTTATAGATGTGATGCCCCTTTACCCCTCCATGTTTCCTGAAGCACAGGGATACTCTCCTATATTACTGCAGTGGAATTGTCAAAGTCCAGACATTGATGTTAATATAATATAACCATCTAATCCCCTAACCTCAGTAGGTCCTTACATACACCTTTCCTTTTGGGTCCATATCTCCAGTCTAGGCTCTTCAATAGTTTCTTGGTCTTTTCTTCACTTTTGTGACCTTGACCCTTTTGAAGGTACAGATCAGTTATTTTGATAGAATACCCCTCAATGTACATCTGTGTTGTATTTCCTCATTCTTAGACCTAGGCTATTAATTTTTGATGGAATACCATGAATGTGCTGCTTTGCTTTTCATAGTACCTATCAGGAGGATATACTGTCAATTTGTCCTGTTTTTGGTAATATTGACTTTTACAACTGAGATAAGGTGATGTCGAACAGGTTTCCCCACTGTTAATTTTATACTAAGTATTTTGTACTTCCATCAACTAATATTAACGTCCATTGATGATTCTTGTCTGAAACAATCATTATGATTTTTGCCAAAGTTAATTTTTTTCCCTACGTTCACTATTTCTTCCACATTTCTTAGTTGGCCTTCTAATATAAGAGAGACTTTTCTCTTCTCCCTCACATGTAATTCATTCACTTATTTATATCAATATGGGCTCATGGATTTATATTTATATTATATAATCACCAACTAAAATTTGGCTGTTCAAATTTTCTGAGACGTGGCCAACGGTAACTCCGTCCAGCCGGTCATCTCTTCTTCCCGACTCTCCCCATACATGCCAGCTCAGTGGACCCAGGGCTTTTGCTCTGGTCACACTGACCTGACACCAACCCCACCTCCGGGCCATACCCATATCCCAAGTAGCTGAGAATCTAAATGATGAACTTGACATAGCTGTGTGAACATCCTTTATCTCAGCTACTTGTCTAGGTTATTGAGATCACTTTGAATTTTGATTCTATCATCCAAATGCATTCATTGCTCCTCCTACTTTTGATCTACCAAATATTTCATACATTTTCATTCAGATTGTTGACAAACTCTTGAACATAAGATGGGGAGACTTTCTTGTTATTAGAGATATTCTTTCCAGGTGGAACTGATATACACTAATATACACTCTTTGTATGTCATTGTTCAACCAGCTCCAAACTTACTTTTAATTTATTCATTGTGACCACAAGGTATCTTGAACTATCTTTTCTAATAGTGTGCCAAAATTAAAATGCATTCTGTCTGTGCATAGTAAAGTGACCTTATAAAAAAATAAAATGATGTTAGTTTGACAGAAGGTGTTGTTATTAATGAATCCGTGCTGGCTGCTACTACTCATTGCTTTCTAATCAGAGGGGTTAAGTAACTTGCTCCAAGTATGACTCCTAAGTGCAGTGATGGAATTTGAATCTAGGCTGGTATATCTCTACTGCCTTGCTCCATCACAACACCTCCATCAATTTACATGGGGGTGGGAACAGGACCTCCTTTCTTTTTTTTATTCTTAAAAAAATTTTTTTTTGTGGTATGTGCTCCTAGCAGGAGCCGAACCAGGACTCTCTGGTCTGCAGGTCGAGGCTCAACCACTGAGCCAAACTGGCCAGGGCAGGACCTCCTTTTTCTGATTTTACATGATGCTACTTTAGTGAGATCCTGTCAGAGTGTACCCAAGGGCAAGACAAGGGTTAACCTGGTAGGGCTGAAGAGTTACCATTGCCTTAGGTCCCTGGGTGTACACAGGTAGCCATTCTTCATAGTCTCTTGAACCCCTTCTCAGGATGTCATATTGACTTGCCCATTTGATGTACGGATTGAAACCTAACTTCGAAAAGCAGGTGTGAGTCTTTTTAATTAAGAGCAAAGCATTTCTGCCCTGGCCGGTTTGGCGCAGCGGTTGGAGCGTCGGCCTGCGGTACTTAGAGACCTGGGTTCGGTTCCCGCTAAGGGCACGTACCTCGGTTGCAGTTTGTCCCAGGCCCTGGTTGGTCGTGCGGGTGGCAGCCACTCGATGTGTCCCTTCACATCGATGTTTCTCTCTCTCTCTCTTCCTCTCTCTCCCTCCCGCTCTATCTGAACAAAAAATGGAAAAATGTCCTCAGGTGAGGATAAAAATAAATAAAATAAATAAATAAATAAATAAAAAAGAAAGCCCTGGCCAGTTTGGCTCAGCGGTTAGAGCGTCCACCTGCGGTCCGGAGAGACCCGGGTTCGGTTCCCGCTAAGGGCACGTACCTCAGTTGCAGTTTGTCCCCGGCCCTGGTTGGTCGTGCGGGTGGCAGCCACTCGATGTGTCCCTTTCACATCGATGTTTCCCTCTCTCTCTCTTCCTTTCTCTCCCTCCCACTCTGTCTGTACAAAAAATGGAAAAAATGTCCTCGGGTGAGGATTAAAAAAAAAAAAAAAAAAAAGAGCAAAGCATTTCTAAAACACAATAATAAAATTAAATTATTTGTACAGGTGAAATATTTACCCAACATTATTTTATCTCTTGGAATATCAATATTATAAGTATAGATTTCTATGCAGCATTTTAGGTCAAGGAAAGTTAAGAATTTTTGTCTTCTTCTTCTTCTTCTTCTTCCTTTTTCTTTTTCTTTTTCTTTTTTTTTTGACGTCTTCAATCCAAGGCTCACTACAGATTAGAAATACCATAAAAGCTATTGAAAGACCTACCGATGTACGCAAGAAAGTGGCTTTGCTGCACATGAAAAAGAAGATGAAACAAACAAAAACCTCCTTGAATACTAGGAGTAGTCCACTGAGGCTGTTTTGCTGGGTTTGGCAGAACATTGTGTGCAAAGATCACATTCTTGAGGTTGTGGTCACATCGAATGGGTAAGAAAAGAGGAAGAGGAGATTCTGAACAAAGGGAGATTTAAGGAGACTAGCAGGGAGAAAAATCCCCAAGGAAGAGTCTGTAAATTCAAGAGAAGTGGCGGGAGTGTTCCTTGGAATACTGAGAGAGGAGCTGCACAGAGTAACAGGCACTTCTGGGGGGAACAATCCCAAGCTGGCAGGAGCTCCGACAAGTCCACCCACCAGGACTAGGCCCCTCATGGCTCTCTGAGCTTCTGGGGCATGGGCTCCCTGCCTACCACCCTCTGGGAAAATGGCCTGTGGGCCCCTAAGTTTCTGTGGTGCACAGGATGACCACCCACACTGTGTTGTAGGTGAAGCTGAGCAAGCATGAGGACCCTTCACAAGAATCCTACGAGTTTATTGATTTTATTCATACAAATGTCTTTTTTCTCTACAAAATCTTTATATGAAAGTAGTAGTTCCATCTTTTGTTGTCACCTAATAAATCTAGATATTTTCTTTTGGTTTTATTTTGTTTGCAGAAAACAATATTGCTGAGACGGCTGGCTGTACCTCTCCCCCCATCAATAGCCCACTTCATCCATGGTAATTGACGCAGTGTGTGATGGGACACAGCTTCCCTGAATAAAGACCACATTGTCCAGCCTTTTCTCTTAGCCGCAAGCAGCAGTGTGACTAAGTTTGGCTAATGCATTGTAAGTAGAAGTGATACTGAAAAGCTTCCAGGAAAACATCCTTTAAAAACAGGGTGGCGTGCCCTTCGCCTGCTCCCGGGAACATGGATTTGATGGCTTGTGCTTCAACCATCACTTTGGACCATGGAGATGGAGGTCACAGCCGAGGGTTGAAAGGGAAGAGAGCTAGAAAGAGCTTTCTCCTAAAACCTAAAGAGCAAAGCCACCATCCCATCTCTGGACTTCCAACCGTCAGACTTCCTTGGAGACGGAAATAAATGGTTATTTGGGGATGATTTCTTCATCTGCAGTCAGTGCTAGTCGTGCCTGATATTAGTACAAATTCGTGTAAATATTAGTATATTATAAGAAATACAAGAAAGAAGTCACTGCCCATCACCCATACTAACACTTTATCTTTTTCTTTTTATCACATGTCCTCTCAGTCTTGCTCTGAAATACTGACATACAGTTTAGGAGAATGGTCAAATTTTCAATCTGTCCACCCGAATATTGACCTGGAATAAAACTGCTCACATGCTTTTTATTTCTTCTTCTAAGTGAAATTACAATAAACTAATATTAAGGTGCCAGGCAAAGCAGTCAGCAGTCTCTCTCTCTCTCTCTCTCTCTCTCTCGTTTTTTTAGAACACTGAGAAACAAAAGAGCTTCTGAACTGGGAGGATCTGGTCCCATTAATGTGTCCCTTTTCTTCGGACCCCTTGCATTCTCTGCTTCCCTAGGACCCTCAAATATATCAGATTAAAATGCAAGAGAAAGACAGGCTAGAGATATAAGATGGGAGTCATCAGCCTATGGGTGACAAGGAAAGCAAAGGGCTGAATGCAGTTACGCAAGAATAAGGAGATGGGCGAGAAGGGTTCTCTAATGGAGTACTGCAGAAAGTTCATTAGCATGTAGTGGGCAGGGAAACAGACGCCCTCAATGAAGACTCTGAAGGAGTGGTCAGAAATTCTGAACAAAAAAACATTAAAACATCGTTGTCTTTTCTTGATCAACAGTATTAACTTCCTGTGATCTGGGAAATAAGTTATGAATTGATATTCCTTGGATCAACAAGGAGGTCACTGGTGGTGGCGATGCAAGGACAGGTTCAGGCGGCAGGGATGGGGGTTGGGGAGTGGTTCAGGCAGGAGGAGGGGCTGAGATTCCTGCTTAAACCATCCAAGGCTATATCTGTTACACAGACTAATTTGGTTTGCTTTTGGTTTGCGTTCAGTGGCAAAGTCAGTTACAAAGTCAGTTGTTTGATTGATTGGACTTTTCAAGTCCTTTGAAGCAAATTACTATTTTTATGCAAACCCGGACAATGTTAGAGGACAGAGGAAACTGGAAAGCAACCTTGCTCGGAGGGTAAAATTTCCTTTACATCCGGCACTGTAGTCCTGCCAGAGCCCCCCTTATGGGCAGGCAGCTGAGAAGAGCAGGAATCACTAATGTCCCCAGGAGCCTGAGCGCTCACATTAGCCTTGGAAGGCATTAGAGACCTAAGCACGGGCTCCATCATATCCAAACCCGAGCACTTATCTTAAGGAAGGAGGCTGAAATCTGGGAGAGAAGAAACCTAGGCAAAGTGCCTGAGAAACTGCCCTCCCTGTTCAGGGTCTGGAGTTAGGATGGGAATTTGGAACATGGAAGACTTTCTGTTTTCCCCCCACCGTTTGTGTATTCTATAATTATTTCCTTTTTGCAAAAGCTTGGTATTTTGTGAAGTCCTCTAATCCTGTGAAGACAGCTTTTTCTTTTTATCTTTGTTTCTCGGTGCCTTGATTTATCGCTTGCTAAATATATTTCACCATGTTGTTTACTTCAGGCTGACACCATTGTGTGACTTCTCTACCTCAACTCCCCGCTGCTCTTTTGAGAGATAAATCACTGTAATTATTTATTCTCTCGAAAAGAAGCGGGAGGTGTAAAAGCCAAACTAATATGTACCTTTAGCCCACCCGAATGACACTTTGGAAATGATTGCTCCTAAACTTTGACTCTGTGTTTTCAGGTCCTCTAAAAGTGTCAGATAACTGAGAATTATGGAATGAGTTGGAAATTCTCACTTTTTCAGGGACTGCCAACAACGGCTACGTATTTATAAGGGTTTCTGTTGAGTCCTACAGTGTTAACCCTCAGGGTTGCTCAGCTCACCAACAAACTCAGAAATAAAATGGAAACTAGAGGTTTGGGATTCAGGGTGAAAGTTCAAAGCTAAGGCTAGGGAAATTTTTATTCAGTTGATTTGGGTTTTTTTTTTTTTTTTAAGGTATTTTTAATCTCACTAGCAATTTTCTTAGGTAACTTAAAATCAAATCATAATTACAAATTCGAATTCCCTTCCCTTCATGGCAGCAGAAAAAGAAGTTGCTAGAAATCCTTTCCCATTTCAATCTGATGCAGAGAGAAAAGTTTCCTGAAGTATTTTGTCCTCAGGTGGATGGACAAAAAATGGCCCACATAAGTACCTTGAACTGACTTCGTAAGGGGAACATGAAATCAATCACTATTTCATTCAGGAAATATACCAGCATCAGGACCCTAATGTCAATACAACCTCTTACCCCAACATTAGTTGCCAAGTTCTGCTAGAAATATATTTTTTTTTCTGCTGCAAAAAGTATCTTGGTTCATTGTTCAAGAGTACCTCCCAGGCCCTAGGGAAAGAACCTTGGCTGGTCAGAAGTGGTTCATGTTTTTCTCCTCTCTACTCCTGCCATTTCTATTTTAATCATTTCCCAAATGCACCGTCTCACTGCATGCTACACAAGGAAATGTTGGGGGTGTTGAAGAGAAAGCCACAGGCCCAAAATGGTGTCATGTGCCCTAAAAGCCCATGATAACAAACCTAGATTTAATACCTGATCGAATGGCAATTTCAACCTCTCCCATAAACATATCTTAGTCAACCAGTCTGGAGTTTTCTGGTCAAGCACCAGGAAGTAATCTGTCACTGGACCCTCTTCCATTCCCCATCAAAAGCAGAGACATCTGCATAATCAAAACCCTTCCTATTCTCCTCTCCCAAAAAAAAGGTATCTTGGCCCCCAAATATTTTTTTCTTTTCTATTGTTAATGGCTCCCTTGTCCCACCCTTCTATCTTTAAAAACCTTCGCCCTGGCTGGTTTGGCTCAGCGGTTGGAGCATCAGCCTGCGGTCCAGAGAGACCCGGGTTCGGTTCCCGCTAGGGGTGCGTACCTTGGTTGCAGTTTGTCCCCAGCCCTGGTTGGGTTGTGTGGGTGGCAGCCACTCGATGTGTCCCTTTCACGTTGGTGTTTCTCTCTCTCTCTCTTCCTCTCTCTCCCTCCTACTCTTTGTGAACAAAAAATGGAAAAATGTCCTAGGGTGAGGATAAAAAAATTAAAAATTAAAAACCTTCCATTTTGTACAGTCTCTCTGAGCACCCTTCTAGTTGCTGGATGGGATGCTGCCCAATTCATGAATCACTTAATAAAAGCCAATTATGTCTTTTTATTTACTGGGGTGAATTTTGGTCAGTGGAAAATATTAGGGTTTAATTCATTCTTACAAAAGCAAGTTTTTAGATAATGGAAGCTAATCATAAGCAGAAGCCAAGGAAAAATTTGCAGAGTCCCAATTCCAAAAGCTTATTTATAGAATAATCTGATATATTAAATTTATAAAATTTATATAATTTGCTTTTACAAAATGTTTGCTTTCTCAAAATTTCAGTATTTCATATGGGAATCTTTCAGTTTCTACTTTTTTTGGTTAATATACAGGATTGTTTTTAGCTAAATTATGACTTATGTTAGGTGGTTTTAAATTTGAAATTAAAATTTAAAGCTGACAGAGATGTGAAAATATTCCTGTAAAGCTAATTAATAAGTTAGTAAAATTGATAAATCAGCTACATGGTCATTTGGCAAATTTGCTTGAGGCAAATTTGATGTGTGGTGACTAGAGTACGGAGTAGCCACCTGGACGGTGTAGTGGTATACTGCATACAGCCAGTGGTTCACACAGATGTGATATGAATGGGCCACCTGGAGTTGTGTAAACTAGAAACCCTAGACCTGACCTAGATCATAAGCTATCTGGCCCTAGCCAAGTCACATGTCGGGCATTCCAGTAACCAGACCTGCAATTCCAGTCAATTTGGAGGGACACACACATCTTAAAAGTTCTTAGAGGTTCAAACTAAGGGGATAAAGTAGGACCAGCAGCACAGCTTGAAGGGTGTGTTAGAATCATTTGGAGGAGAATTTAAAAATCTTTATAACCAGGTTGTACCTTGGACCAATTAAATAAGAATTTCTTGGTGGGATCCAGGCATAGATTTTTTTTTTTAAAGCTTCCTAGGTGATTGCAATAGTCAGCTGTTGTTTAATAAGGACTCTGGTGTATGGGGAAACTCAATTCTTGGAATTTTCCCAGTGACAGGGTATGTTTGTTATTCATGGGGGACTGTTGAACCACATCTGAGTTCATGCTAAGGAGGTGATTCAGAATGGGGCCTGGTCATGACCAAAAGACCGACCATATGATCAGAGTTGAGTCTCTGAGCCACAGGGCTGTTAGCCCGATCTCACAACCTCCAGGAAGGGGAGGAAGGGGAGAGTGAGTTCAGTCACCCGGCCAGTGTTGCTATCAACCATACTTACGTAATGAAACCCCTCTAGAAACTCTGGACACAGGCTTTGGGAAGCTTCCTGGTTGGTGAACACATGGATGTGCTAGGTGGCTGACGTGTCCTGGTTCCATGTAAGATAGCATCAAAACTCTGTGTTTGGGACCCTCCCAGACCTTACACTTTGCATCTCTTCATTTGGTTGGTCCTGATTTGTATCCTTTACAATAAAAGTATAATAATAAGCATAGTGCTTTTCTGAGTTTCATAAGTTAGCAAATTATCAAACCTGAAGGGATAGCAGGAACTCCCGAATTTGTAGTGCCTGAAATGAGGCAGTCTTTTGGGGGGACTTCCCTTAAACATGTGAAATCTGATGCTCACTGTGGTTAGCCTCAGAATTGAATTGTAGCGTTGCAGCAACTGAGTTGAGAACCACTATTATAGGAAAAGGTGGTTCAGAACATTAAGTAAGTGCCAGAATCACATCATCCAACTAGGTTAGGGCAAGGATGCTGCCCGGGTCCAACTAGGATGGGGGTGGGGTAGAGAGGAATGAGGCACAGAGGCTTAGCCTCAAAGTCCCATATGGGAATGAGAGTAGAAGTTATGAACCAGGACAAAAGTTCAGTCAGACAAAGTACCTGTATATTGTGGGACACGACAGCTCAGTGCTCTAGCAAATAAGCTCCATTGTCCCCAGAAGAGGACTTTGGGACAGAGCCACAGACTCTGCAGCATCACCACCACCAAAAGTCATTGGAAGGAAGCTCCCTGCTTAACCAGTACTGGTTTTGTGATGAGGGTGGAATTGAACCAGCTGGTGCCAGAATTATCATTGCCATGGCTGGATTGATCCAGAGTCAGGAAGTGCCAGCTGTAAATAATTTAAATTCTTCTCATAAGTGGCTTCTTTAAAAATTATGCTGACCATACAGTAATTTCAGTTTGGTGTCTTGGGTTTCTTGATACTGAAATCTGAGTGAGAAGCTCTTGTCAAAGTTGGATTGTCACTGAGAAAGGTGAGCTGACTGGCTGACTTCCAAGAGGTCTCTCAAGTTGGCATTTATCTGGATGCATTTGCCACAGTCCGCAGTCTCCTTCAGCTTTACAGGTGCGACGATTCCATCTTGTGACACTCTAGAGTTGATCAGCTTGGACAAGCCAACTCACACTGAGCACTCCTCAGGAGTCGGAAGTACATCAACCAGAATACGCGTTCATTCATGACATGTCGGTATGACTGGGCTTATTCGATACATAAAACTTCTTGGGAAAATCATTCTAGAGAAATATGATGTGATGAGCACACAGTGAAAACAAGTCAAGTCGGTTATAGCACACTTAGGATTCCGAATGGCCTGAAGTTCTGTGAGATGTATGGCGTCCGTCTCCACCGTGGGGTTGTGGGCACCGGCTCTGTTGCCAGCCTTCAGCTCTGCTGCCTGGCATTGGCCAGGCACTGCGGTGGTTGCCTCCGCAGCTATTCCTTTTCTTCGTGTTCTTTACTGATCGATGTTCTCTGCTGATTGATTTTCCTTCCGTGGGATGTATCATCAACGTTAATGAGGATACTCCAAATCTTTTGGGTCTGAGAGCCATTCTGTTTCTTTACCAAGGTGACTTTATTTACATAGTTCTCCTGTGGTCCATTATGTAGTGATTTCATGTTTGACTCCCAGAAGATACATTTTAAAGTTATTCTTACTGTATTCTTCTGATTTAAAAGTGTTTTAAATTGGAAAGTACATGAAAACATAAAAATCACTCATAATTTCATCACCTTATTAGAACATAATTATATTTACTCACAAACTTGGTTTCTGGATTGCTGTGAATCCTGTGTGTGTGTGTGTGTGTGTGTGTGTGTGTAACAGTCTTGTGAGATATCATTTACATATTACATTCACCTGTTTTTGTGTACAATCCAATGATTGTTAGTAAATACGTGGAGTTGTACAACCATCATCACAATCCAATTTTAGGACATACGTAGCTCGTGCCCGTTGCCATCAATCCCATTCCTACCTCCAGCTCCAGCCACCACACAGTTACTTTCTGTCTTGACAGATTTGACGATGGAGACATCTCATAGGAATGGAATCATATGACATTTGGTTTTTTGTTAATGGCTTTTCTCACTTAGCATAATGTTTCTGAGGCTCATCCATGGTGAAGCATGTTTTTGTAGTTTGTTCCTTTGTATTGCAGAATAGTCTTCCGTTGTTTGGATATGTCACATTTTATTTATTTTTTCCTCACTTGATGGAAGTTTGGATGGTTTCCACTTTTTGACTATTATGAACAATAATGCTGTGAACATTTATGTGCAAAGCTTTGCATGAACACATGTTTTTATTTCTCTCGGGTAGATTCCTAGATATGAAATTGCTATACTATATGGTAAATTTATGGTTAACATTTTAAGAAACTGTCAAATTATTTTTGAAAGTGGCTACACTATTTTAAATTCCCACCAGCAATGTATGTGGTTTCCAATTTGTTGACATCATTGTCAACACTTGGTATTGTCTGACCTTTTATTATAGCCATTCTAGTGGGTATGAGGCAGTATCTAATTGTGGTTTTAATCTACATATATTGAATAATGATATTAAGCATCTTTTATGTGCTTATTAGCTACTTGTATATTTTCTTTGGTGAAATGTTCATCAAGCCTTTTTTTTTTCATTTTAAAAATCCAGTTGTTTGTCTTGTATTGTTGATTTGAAGGAGTTCTTTATGTATTCTAGGTATCAGTGTTTTATCAGTATATGCTTTGCAAGTATTATTTTCCCTTTCATGATTTATCTTTACAGTTTTCTTAATGGTATTTTCTGAAGAACAAAAGGTTCGATTTAATGATGTCCAATTTATCATGCTTTTACATTTTGCTTTTGGATGTATTTTGAGTTGTTTTTGTGTGTGTGTGATGTGAGGTAAGGATCTAAATTTATCTTGTTGCATGTGGGCATCCAACTATTCCAGCATCATTTGTTGAAAAGACAATACATGTTGAATTACCTTGGCTCCTTTTTCAAAAATCAATTGACCATAAATGTTTCTGAGCTCTAAATTCTGCTTCACTGATTTATGCCTTATTTTTGTGTTAATACCACACTGTCTTGATTGTTGTAGTTCTATACTGAGTTTTGAAGTTGGAAACTTTGCTCTTCTTTTTGGCAATCCTACTCTGCTTTTTGACTTCCTATTTTTATCTTCTCTATGGCTAATAGTTCCCACACATGGTTGCTATCAGGGTATGCTGTACTAGAACCCCCCCACCCTCCCTGCCCTTCCTCCTCTTCTTCCTCCTCCTTCTTCTCACCAGCTCATCTTATTATGTACCTTGGTGTGGAACCTTGTTAATGTAATGCTTTCTATTTCTCCCACCATGCATGGGTTACCAGCACAGACAGAGGCTTGGAAATAATAGCCCCTGGTGTAGTTTCAGAATGGAGGGCATTCTCTCACTCACCTCGCACTCACTCCCATGT